AGCAGCTATTGCACACAACAAAATGTAAATAAAAGTGTTAGTATGGCTGTGTGCCAGTCTGTCATTATGTCCGTCTGTCAGTTGGTCAGTTGCTACACAAACGTCATACGATCAACTAACCAAACAATTCAACGACCATCATTATCTATCCCATAATGATTGAACATTATTTATTTAAGGCTGGTTCACTGCCTGCCTGTTTGGCTGACGGACTGACTGACTGGCTCACTGCTGCCGATGGATGCTGATGATGCTGTTTGCTGCTGCTGTTGGTTTTTCTTTATTATTATTATTGTTAAACGTCATCGTTGTTGTTTTTTATATGTATGTAGTGTTTTTTTCTTAATATTATTGTTTGTTTCTTTTTTCTTTTGTATTTTACAAAAAATGCCGATTCCACACTTTTTTCCAGAGTTTTTTCTTTCTCGTTTTTTTGAATAATGAGCACACATTTCTTTAACATTGACTTTGGTTTTCTTTAGCTTCAGCTTCAATTTAAGTCCGCTTATCATCATCAGCGACAACAGCAGCAATCGTGGTTACAAAAAGTTGGAAAAAAATTAAGGCCTGAGAAACCCTTTACTTTTTTTCTGTATTTTTTTTTTTTTTTGTATAAATTTTTATCTAATGATGTAAAACGCTCAGAAAAAAAGTAAAACGAACCAAAAGTAAATTGTGTGTAGACCGCAATTGTTTGCCCCAAGGGGGTTTTGTATATGTTAATTCTGTTGGAATATCAGGTTTTCTTTAATAATACCTTTTGAAACATTTACTTGAAATTGAAATAAACCTCTGAAATTTCAGTTTGTGACAAGGGGAATTAAAAAAACAGTATTTTTAACGCAACTCCATATAAATCTAATTAAGATTTTTTATGAAATTTTTAAATGAAATTATTGGTTTGGGTAACAATTGAAATGGGGATCTTGTAAACTAATACTGTTTGTACTTGGTTTGACACTTTCAACTTTACTTCAATCAATATTTTTATGTAGTCGGTCTTCCGTTGAAGCAAGGATGGTTTTGTGCTCTACATTTTTGTTTTAACGAAGATCGTTTTAATCATCTAAATATAGTTTCAATCATGATGATCACACAATGATCGTTTTGTACTCTTAACATAAACTCAATTGGAAATATTTTTCTACTTGATCAATTTACTCGATCAGTCGTCGATCATTTCATTTATACGTTGTTTGCTACTTCTAACTTTGCTTCAACTGAAGCAAAGATCGTTTTGTGCTCTACATTTTTGTTTAAACGAAGATCGTTTTAATCACCAAAATATAGTTTCAATCATGATGATCACACAATGATCCTTTTGTACTCTTAACATAAACTCAATTGGAAATATTTTTCTACTTGATCAATTTACCCGATTAATCGTCCATTATTTCAATTGTACATCGTTTGCTACTTTTAACTTTAATTCCATCTATCTGTTTAGGTCTTCAGTTTAAACAGGAATCGTTTTGTGCTCCGAATTTTTGCCTAAATGAAGATCTAAACTTAAAGCGATATACAAAAAAGTTTTAGTTTCAACAATGATCGCTTTATATTCTAAATATAAGCCTATCTGGGGATCTACTTAAAACGTGAATCGGTTTATCCTGTAAATTTGTATTCAATTAGGGATCGTTTCATATACAAATTTCAGTACAAAAGTTAATTGAATGTTTAGTTTAAAAACAGATTTCCTTTTAAATTTCGGGGAGAAAGGTAAGTTTTTGGACATTTCTTTTTAAGACAGTTTTCTAAAACCAGTTTCCTAAAAAAAAAAAATTGAGTTCCTAGACAGTTTACTTAGAAAACAGTTTTCTTTAATCAGTTTTTATACCCTACACTACTATAGTGGGGGAGGGTATTATGCGTTTGTGCTGATGTTTGTAACACCTAAAAATATTGGTCCTACACCCATCTTAAAGTATACCAATCGGCTCAAAATCACTTTAGTTTATCGATTTAGTTTATGTTCTTGTATCACTTCAAAAATTCTGCAAAACTTAGTTTTATATAAATGCTAATGACACTGTAGATTTTCGCAATGATCGGGCCTCATTTGACCCCATTCCCCAATACAAAGTCCCCTTCAGAAAATGACTTGATGGTCAAAATTCTCGTATAAACACTAATTTCACGAAGATATTCTGCATAAATGACTTTACTACAGACACAGTAAATCCCTCTACCATATTTATAAGGATAGGCCCATATTAACCCCTTGCCCTCATATAACCCCTCTTTTAGAAAACCCTTTTTTACCACAAATTGTTAAAATATTTTTGAATTAAAGCAAAAATTAAATTAAATGCTTTAATTTTTAAAATAATATTCATAATTTTTAACACACTCACTGGTGTAGGGTATCATATGGACGACCATGCCCGACTATAAATTCTTACTCGTTTTGTATAAAATTTTTGTTTTACATTAGTTTTTCTTATAAAGCAGTTTTATATATATTTTTAAGGCAGTCTTCTTCTTCTACAGCATTTTTCTAAAAAAATGTGTCTTCTTGGTTTTCAATACTTATTAGCTTTCTAAGCAGTTTCTTAAGGCAGTTTTCTATAGAAAAGTATCTTTTTTGAGAGTTTTCCAGAAAGACAATTTTCTTAGATAAATATTTCCATACAGTTTTTTCAATAGAACATTAATGCAGTTCTCTTCTGCCTTAAATGTTCTCTCTCCTTAAGGAAATGTTATTCTTAAGTCAGTTTTTTAATTCAAATTACTTTTTAGGCAGTTTTTCTGTAGAAACGCTTGAAAAAATGTATTTTTAAGATAATTTTTTTATAAAATCTTTTCTTTTACTTTTCTCATAAAGCAGTTTTCTATATATTTCTAAGGTAGTTTTCTTCTTTTACGGTTTTCTATACTAATATGTTTTTAGAGCAGTTTTCTATAGAAAAGTGTCATTTTACGACAATTTTCCAAAAAGTATATTTCACACAATTTTTTTAATAGAACATTAAGGCAGTTGTCATGTTCTTCTTCTTAGGGAAAAGTAATTTTTAAGTCAGTTTTTTTTTCGGTTAGTTTTGTGAAGAAACAGTTTTTTATAAAGTTGTGGTTTACGACAGTTTTTTATGATAGAGTGTATTCAAAGTCAGTTTTTTTAAAGCATTTTTTTTAAGAAAAGTTTATTACGGCAGTTTTCTTAGTTAAGTAACAGCTTTGTATATAACATTGCAGCCTTAAGACAGTTTCTTATAGAAAACAATCTTCTCTGGTAAATTTTTTTTACAGGAAAGTATTTTGTAAGACAGTTTTCTGTAGAAATTTGTCCTGTCAAGTTTGTCAGTTTTCTTATAAAGTGTCTTTTGAGGCAGTTTTCTTGGAAAAAAATCATTTAAGACAGTTTTCTGCAGAATCTTTTACTTTAGGAAGTTTTCTTTAAATATACATATATATTAAGAGTTTTTTAAATTAATGTCTTTTAGATTTCTTGAGGCAGTTTTTTATGAAAATTTGTTTACAATCTGAGGCTGTTTTCTTAGGAAAATGTCTTTTAAGACAGTTTTCTGTAAAAACATGTGGTTCCTAAGGAATTTTTCTTTTAATTAAGAGTTCTTTAAAGTAACATCTTTTAGATTTCTTAAGGCAGTTTTTTTATGAAAATTTTGTTATAGCAGTTTTCTTAGAAAAACATCATATTACAGAAGTTCTATTCAGAACATTGTATAATCTTAAGGCAGTTTCTTGTGGAAGAGTATATTTTCTAGGCAATTTTCCACAGACAGTTTTCTATAAAAGAGTTTTCTCAGGCAGTTTTTTATAGATTTTTTTTTATGAAAAGTCAGTTTTTTATATGTTTTCAAGGTGGTTATATATAGAAAATAGTTTTCTAAAGGTGGGGCGATTTCTTAAATCATAATTGTTAAGCAAGATATCCTTCTAAGGCGGGTTCTATTGACCGTGTATAGTATATAGAAATTAGATCTTAAGTAAATCTTTGAATAAGTCTAATATGTTCGGGAATTGTTATCTATATATTAAACACAATCCACTAAAGAAATTTAAACTTTTCAATTGGAAATTAAAACCACAATTAATACATAAATAATATATAACTAAAGCAGATGTCTGCCTAACTAGGTAATATCTATAATTTAGTTACTCTTTTTCATTTTCAATATCGAACTCATAGATAAAAAGAAAAAACGAAACAAAATTTTTTTTCCAACATGTTGCTAATATTTACTATTGTTCTGATAAACGAAAATAACTACTCGTAGCAATATTTCATGCCAGGCTGTCTGTCCGTCCGTTCTATGTTTGAGGTGGTCTGGGTGCTGTTGCTGCTGTTAGAGCTGCCAGTTGACTTTAACTACTGTTTACCGTCCCATTACCGCCGAGGTAACCTAGTACATACAATGTATGAACAAACTAACCTGCCATTAGACATACGTACACATATGCTAAAAAACAGATGTTTAAGAGAATGCAAACATTTTGTTTAATAAAGTATTTATTGAAAACCAATTTAATTTCATAAATTTTTAAATTTTCTTAAACATTCTTTTAAATTTCTGTTTAGCGTTCGTGTTATCAGACATTGAGTCTCTATGCGATATAACAAAAACAACAATAACAGCCATAACTAGAAAAAAAAGCAAAAACATCTACAACAAACAAGAAACCTAAAAGAACCTTATCTTGTGCACTGTTTATTGTTGATTTTAATTTTTTCCGAACAAAAAACAAAATTCTGGAATTTCTATTTAAACGTATATTTTATGACATAAAAATAGCTAAAAACACATACACACATACACATAATAATGAACAAAAAATACACAACTTTAAGATAAAAAAATATTATTAAATTCGTACTCACTATGACTGGAGAGCTTTTAAATGAAAACTGAAAATAAATAAAAGAAAATCATAAATATATTTTTTTATAATGCAAATGTCAGCAAAAATACTAAATAACTTAACAAAAACTAAAGTAATTATTTAAACTTTAACTTTTAGTTTTATTTTAACTTTCATTGCAGATCCATTCCCAAACTATCCACTATGTGAATTATAGTAAAAAGAAAGAGAAACATAAATAGCATGCCCACTGAGAACAACTTTTTAACCCAACTACTACAGACACAACAACAACAATATTTTAACAGCTTAACACTGAATCTCACTTGGATGTTCTAAAACCCACTGCTCCCATATACAACAACATCTGAGCCTTATAATTTAACCGCAATTTTAATAGAATTGTAAGCAATAAGTACTAAATTTCTAAAAACAAAATGTCCAATAATAATCCCTCCAACTCGGCCTTTGTGCCGGTATTGCCCTCACATCGTAATGCTTTAAGGGGGCCTGGCTCTCTGTATGCGGGCATGATGGAGGCCGAGGCTGCTAAGGACCCCAGCAAAAGGGGTTCGAACTTTGAAATTATGGCTATGATGGCGGACAAACGTAAAGAGCTGGCTCTACGGGAAGCTGCAGTAGCTGCCGCCATGTTAATGCCTCGCCCTGGTCAAGTACCCCCACCTGGGGTACCCGGTTCCGTTATGTATCCGCCTCCCTATCTAGGCGGTCCTGGACCCTCTCCCACTGGTGCGGGTAGTTTTACATTTCCCTCGGCAACCGCGGCTGCCTTGTTTCCTCCCGGTATGCCACCCTCAATGCATGCTGGTTTAGATAGACGTCTGTTGCGTGCTCCGGGCAGAGCCTCGAGACCTAAGAAGCAATTTATTTGTAAATTTTGTAATCGTCAATTTACCAAGTCCTATAATCTACTAATCCATGAAAGAACTCACACCGATGAAAGGCCCTATTCATGTGATATATGCGGCAAGGCATTTAGGCGTCAGGATCATTTAAGAGATCATAGGTAAGTTAAATTATGATTAGAAACTGAATAAATAAGTTTTCTCTTCCGAAGACAGTTTTATTATATAAAACTGTTGTATCAATAAGTTTTCTATAAAGCTGTTTCCTAAAGCAGTTTATACAACAACAATTTTTTTAATAAAAATCCCTTTTTTTAACCAACTTCCAGATACATACACTCCAAGGAGAAACCCTTTAAATGTACCGAATGTGGTAAAGGTTTTTGTCAGTCGCGCACATTGGCCGTTCATAAAATCTTACACATGGAGGAGTCACCCCACAAATGTCCCGTCTGTAGTCGTAGCTTCAATCAACGTTCGAATTTGAAGACACATCTTCTAACACACACCGATCATAAGCCCTACGAATGTAATTCGTGTGGCAAAGTGTTTAGACGTAATTGCGATTTAAGGCGCCATACCTTAACCCATGCTGTAGGTGATATACCGGGTGAATATGTAGATGTGGTGGAAGAGGAGGATGATGCTCGTAACTTAAGTGGTGATGAAGAAGATTCTCTACTGGAAGTGGACTCACCGCGTCAGTCGCCGGTACAAAGACATCTGGCGGGATCACCCAGTCAAGAGTTAGAAGGGGAACAAGAAGTCGAAGAAGAATTGGAAGGAGATCAACGTATATCTATGGCTGAACGTTTGACCTTAAAACGTAAGGCACAATTTGATCGTGAATTATTAGAAGATGAATCTGATGAGGAACTGGGCGATGAGAATGAGGAAGATGAGGAGGATAATAACGAAGCTGATGATAATGCGGCCGTTAAGGAAGAGGTAATGGAAAAGAATTATCGTAAAACTGAGGCCGATGTAGTAGATGGTCCGGTTAAAAATCAAAATCAGGGTGTTACACATTGCCATCATGAGGGAGGCGAACAGTACACCATGCGTCCCACACAAGATCAGCAAAGAGCTGCCGATGAATTGGCCCTACTTAATGCTGGGAACATAAATGGTGTATTGACAATGCCAACACAACCACCAGATTATATTATGCCTAGTACCAGTACGGGCATAACAAATTATATGGGTGCCATGGGTAATCATACCACAAGAGATACTAATGATCCCTATATGCCTCTGTTACATGTTAGAAGAGATCTCCATAATAAGAATCTAATGCAAAGTCCTACCGATTTGAAGGTACAAACTCAGACAGGTAACCTAACAACAGCAGCACTGCCAGTTATTATAGATGCTACCAGAATTCAAGCTCCCCCACCGCCGGCACCCTTGCATTCGCCTCATGAGCCAGTGCCTAGTTTTTTGGGTTCCATACCCATACGCAAACGTTCTTTAGGAGTGGAATTTGAACATATACACGCCTTGAGTCAAAGAGGTCCTCCCTTTGCCAGTAATCCTAATATTTATGCTCTAAATATGTCACGCCCGCATTTACATGCTTTACAGTCGGCAGCGGCCGCTTCGGTCATTAAGCTAGAGGCCTCAGTGCCGCCCTCACATTTAGGTCCACCACCGCCTAATATGACCTCTAAACCGGGACCCTATCTGCCCACCAATTATCATATAAATCAGCCACCACCACCACCAGCACCACCCTCAAGTAAATCTTCCACCATAACCGAGTCTTATTTACAGCACAACAATCGAAATTCTCACCATGAAGCTAACACGTCTACACCAACCTCAAGCGCAGCAGCAGCAGCAAGTTCATCATCTCAGCCCTCAAGTTCAACATCTGCCTTAGTGGGCCCTAGCCATAATCCACCCCCTAACAATCCACCACCTGTTAAACGCACCGGTTTTAGTATAGAAGATATAATGAGACGCTAATACATATACACACACTCACACATGTATATTGCCTTTTTTCGTCAGTTCTAAAACTTAGTGAAAATATTAATTAATTTTTCTTTTATATTTAATTATAATTATTGCATAAGTGCCTTTAAAAGTAAAAGTTAAAAAAAAATCAATTCTTTTAGTTTTAGAAGTTTAGATTAAAAAGTCCTTAATTAGTTTTAATTTATGCCTTAAAGGGTTAATTTTTTTATTAAGTTTGTGTAGGTTTGAAAATATCCTTTATTAAAATTTTAAATATTTACTGCGTAATTAAGACAGTTTCAACAGTTATAAAGTACAATATATAGTTAAACAAGGTCGCAGGTCTTTTATAAGATCCATTGCTTAACGGTTTCAAAATATTTTTTAAGATTTCAGTTAAAATAGTTTGCATTTAGTAAATTAACAGCATTTAGGGTATTCACAGATTTTTCTTATACTTCAAATACAATATATGCTTAAACAATATTAATTAAAGCAATTAATAGTGTTGTCAATAGAACAAAGTTTTGATTACACATGTACATCGCATGACACAACATTTATAAAAGTTTCTCTGGATTAATTTTGATTCCTTCATTTTTTTAAGCCCAAACTGTGAGACCCTCATAAATTAAATTTCCAATTTCAAAACCAATTTTTTAATGTAAATTTTTTTATCAAAATTTTCAAATGTTGATCATAAATATAAATTAATTTAATAAATTTTTTAATTTTAAATAAAATATTTCTTTAAGTGTACTTGCCTGAACACTTAGTGTTCAAACAGAAATATCATACAAATTTATTTTTGCAATTCTTTAGTTTTTAAGATCATCAACATACTTTAATTAAATTTAAGTAATTTTATTGTAAATTGTTGTGGTCCTTACAACTTTGCATATTATATTTTTTAATAATTTAGTTAAGCAATTATTTAAATTAAAGTATTACTTTAATATTATATGATTCTATTAGTTAATAATTATTATTTTATTATCATTATTACTATTATAATTATTTTAAGTATTTTTTCTAAATGTGTATCTTATTATTATAATTATTATCCTACCATGTCTTCCTCTGTTTCAACAAATTTATTTTTAATTATCAATATATTATATATTTTTTTTAAATAAACTATTTGAAATAAACATAAATATAAACAAATCTATATAAATAAATGAGTAATGTTTGTTTGTAATTAATAAGTTCAGAAAGTACGGCACCTAATAGGGGTGCATAGATCTTCACTACTAGAGAAATATAGGACCGATAATGCGGGACGCGTTCAATTAGTATACAAATAACTGAAGAAATTTTTAAATATTTATTAAAACTCTCTTTGGTCTTCTTTATTATACCCTTCACCACTTTAGTGGGGAGGGTATATACCCACCTTAAAGTATTCCAATCGGATTAGAATCATTTTCTGAGTCGATTTAACTATGTCCGTCCGTCTGACCGTCCATGTAATCCTTATAATCAAACTACATGTTGCAATTTTGAAGATAATTCAATGAAATTGCCTATTGAAAGATCGGTCTATTATGTTATCTAGCCGCCATACAACTGAAATCCCCAATAGGGAAACCTTGTAATCAAATTACAGGTCGCAATTTTGAAGATAATTTAATGAAATTTGGCACATAAGACGAAGCCTATTGAAGTGGTTAACATCGGTCCATAATTTCACTTAGCCCCCATATAACTATATTTTCTTACATGTTATTAATTGATGTGCTTTTGAACATAACCTCACCTTTAAATAAACACTCACCCCGCAAGTTATTAATTTTCCGAACTGCTGTTTATGAGACCTTCAAAATACAATCTTCATATCTTGACTCACTCTAGGCATAAGCTCCCTGTTACGATCTAAAGGGTCATACGAATTTCATTCTTACTCAAGCAGCGTGTTACGGGTACAATAAAAGTCGAGAATTATAAACTAAACCTTAGATCGTACAATTCACATTGATCATAGATTGCTAAAGGCGAAAAGTCAATCTTAGTCCGAGTCCCTTAGTGCACATTATTTGGAGCGAAAATAATGAGATCGGAATATCTATTTTCAAGTAGAAATGATCTTCGAAACTCTTGAAAAATTAAAGAAAATCTCGGTTATAAAACGCTTTTTAAGAATAAAAGTTCATCTGTATATGTGGATCGGATAAAAAATTAGAAAATATTATGCTGCTAGTTTAGAAGGAAAGCTTTGACGTGATCGGTTGCTATTACAATTTAGCGAACTATTCTATATATATTTTTTTTTGTTGACCTAAGACCTAAAACCTAAATCATCCAGTTATTGATTCTGCTGTTATGATCATTTTCAATTTTATAAGAATACAATCTAAGTAATTTGGTTTCGGATCTGTTATATATTAAAAAAACAGAACCTGCAACATGATCCTAACAACATCAGGTGAAATCAATTTTCCGGTATACCAGAAGGTGACCACACTTATGATGTCATGAAAGATTGATGTCATGAAAGATGTGCTTGTCACTGAGATGGCTCTGTTGATTCGGCAACAGCACCTAGAAACGTATTTGGTAGTCCGAAATACACAGCCAATAAATCAGGTTCCCAAAGTCAGTTGAAACCAAATAGTTGCCCCGACAAGTTAAGGGAACGGACCTTAACCATAAGTCCGTAGCATGAAACAATATGAATCCAGTTGAGATGGCAACAGCACCGAGAACTTCCTGAAGTAAAAGGCCTACTATATCAGTACTAGTCTCCTGTTGGACCGAGGAGTCTTTCCCGATCGTTCACTATTAATTATATCAGTTCCATTCGCAGACCATAAAGAACGATCTACGGAATGACAGGCAACTACCAAGCCCTACTAAGCGAAGAGTAAGAGATGCTCAACGAGTTCAGGAATCCATGCTCTGTCACATCACCCAGTGACATCTGTTGAGATGGCAACAGCACCGGAGAGAGAATCCATACATATATGGCATTTGAATATATCTGTCCTTGAACCAACATTCTCTACCCACAGCCACTACGTGGATCCCGAAAGAACATCAACCAACTGACCAACCAGGACACGTGCTGCGGGCAACTGGCCACAGGTAGTGCTAGATTATATGGTGCTCTGGTTAAACCCCATGTCAAATCATTCCAAGCATCATCAGTTTATAGTCCCGGCTGACTAGAGGTATTGGTAGCATCTCTTTTCCTCGGGATATTGCAATTACACCAAGATGGAGATTTCACCAGGGTAACATGCCCCTGGGGGGAACATTGGAGGCAAGTGTTACCACGCTCGCTTACGAATAGGGAGTTAAATAAGTACTTATCACGATCGCTTACAAATAAAGAGTTATTATGTTATTGATAAATAAATTTTAAGACCTTCTTCACATTCGGTCCCAATTCTAACAGAATCCAAACTGTGTATTTTTTGTTGAAAGAGAATTGGTTCTAATTCTGAATGATAATGGAAGCTTTTCCTCATCAGAACTTTTGACATGATCGGTCTGAAACTTTCTATGCGGTTATTTACTTTGGAAAACTGTCGAATTTTAAAAAACAAGGAGCTTGTCGAAAATAAAACCGATAATGGAAGAGTGATTTGTTTCGAAATTATACAAAATCAAAAACATTTGGCCTGATCGGTCCTAATTCGGAAACCTATCACAATTCGAAAACCGGACGAAATAAAATAGAATGAATGACCTTTTTCAAAAACTAACAAGGCCTACTAATATGTTTCTTATAAATATCTGCTAAAATTTAATATGTATATCAAAATACTTTCAAGTGTTAATCATTTCACATTCAAACTCCTTTCGATAACAGGTCAAATTTTATTTTTGAAAGTCTTATAGATTAAATCGTCTAAGACATGATCATTAAAAAACATTTTGTGTGAATTCGAGTGAATAATCTAAAACTTGCTTGTGAATAGTTATTTCATTTTTAACCGATCACGTTCAATTGTGTTTGTTGATCGACGTTTCTTTACGTTGAATTGCACGTAAATTTTGTTCATCATTTTCATAGAAATAATTGTCATGTACGTTTTTTGGTTTTGAGTACACTAAGTTTTTTTTATTATTTTTTTTTTTTTGTAAATTTTCAGTTGAAAATGACTAAAACCGCTAATATCCACATCTAGACCTACAAAACAGACACACTCACTCCCCTTAAAAAAAACTTGCAACTGAAATTTTGTACATATTAAAATATAAAAAAAATTTTCCATACAAAAAAATCTAAATGAACATAAGAGTCGCGTATGTAAAACAAAAAAACCACAAGATGTTTATCATTCCATCAAGTTTTTATGTTTTTGTTGTTTTTTTTAATATTATTATTCAGTTTTTTTTATTATTATTTTATTTTATTAATTTTTTTTGTTTTGTTCAGTTATTGTCGCTGTTGTTGTTGTTCGTTTTTAATATAAAGTACGTGCATTGCATATTGAATGCGTTCAAAGATATTTCATTTTATAGCAAGATGTGGTGGTGTTTTATGGTTGGATTTTTATTTTTGTCTTTTTCATAGTTATTTGTTTATTATATTTTGCCAAAAATAATGTTATTTTCACTTTATTCAAAAAAAAAAAAAAAAAAAAAAAAAAAATTATAAATATGATTAATAACTAAATTGAAAGAAGTCTTCTTTTATGTTGTTTGATGACTATTGTTAGGAAACTTCAAAGCAATTGGAACAATTTGTATGCACAAGAGCATATTTTGTTCTAAGATAGATTGCTATACTGCCATTATGAAGAATGATGTATGGATATTATTTAAATTATATGAACAATTAAGGATTTTAAAGTAAAAAGTTTTATGAGGAGAATATACAGGCCCTAGGGCGAAAACGATGAAAATCTGTGGTCATCTTTATTTCATACCAAAATTCGATTTTTTGGGTGAAAACATAAAAGTCCATTTTCTGGCTAAACTATAGCCCGTAGGGCTAAAACAGCGAAAATCTGGGATCACTTTTATTTCCTACCAAAATTCGATATTTTGAGTGAAAACATAAATGTCCATTTTCTGGCTAAACTATAGGCCGTGTGGCAAAAACAATAAAAATCTGTGATCACTTTTATTTCCGACCAAAATTCGATTTTTTGGGTGAAAACATAAAAGTCCATTTTCTGGCTAAACTATAGGCCCTAG